TTACGTTACGTTACCGTTACCTACTACGTACTACGTATAGTGTAGTTACTTAGTTAGTTAGTTAGTTGTTCTTATTCTTCTTCTTCTTCTCTCTCTCTCTCTCTCTCTCTCTCTCTCTCTCTCTCTCTCTCTCTCTCTCTTTTTAAGCTTCTTTTTGTCGTACTTGAAAGGTATTCTGATTGCCTGTGGAGTAGGGCCACTATTTCACGTTTTCTATTTACGGCATGGGAAGGAAAGTTTTTGTTTTCCCTTTGGAATTTTGGTGCTGCTGAAACTAGGTCTCAACATTTTTTGATGAAATCAACCTTCATGAGAGGCCAAGAGGCTCTTTGGTAACATCAGTTGGCTCTGCATTATATGTTTTTTTGGAATGATGTGTATGTCCCAGTGGCATCAATGTTTCAAATCTGTTAGAAAAGAGAACCTTTATGTAGTGCAAATGGGATCTCTAAATTATTAGATAATGTTTGGTTGTCCAAAATGTAATATCTATGGGGGTAAATTTTATAAAAAAAATTTCTAAGAATTCTTAAAATATAAGGTTCTTAAATTTCAGACAATATTGAAAATAATCATGTTGGGCATTATGAAGAGCTTCCAATGGAACCCCTTCAATGTTTTGGAACTTAGCTAGAATTTTGAGTTCTTAACCTGCAGAGTCCATGTTGACTTAGTAAGTCATGAAACTTTTTTTTTTCCTTTCAGAAAATGAAAACAGAAACATAGTTTATTTAAGTTAGTCTTTATTATAAAATGTTTCAATAACTAGTGGAAGTTATTTAATATGCGCTAGCAATGTCGAGTGTTTTTATGGTCTAATTTGAAAAGCCTAAATGCCTGAATAGGCAGCTTCCATAATGGCCAGAGAAAACTTAGTTAAAAGTGATGCATCTACACACTTCTATTACGGATATGGCTCTGTGTGCTTCATGTTGTAATGTATGTATTTGTGTGTGTTCATGTGTATTGGCGATCTCGCCTGGTGAAGAGCCTACCTTAGTCTCTGTGTTAGCGAAGGGCTAGTCCATGAATTTCTCTTGCCATTAATGTTGTCTGATGTACTACCATGATGTGAGGGCATTAGGCAGTGCATGAACTACCTCTCCTATGATTACTACCCTGTAATTTTCCAGAGATGTTTGAGCCCTTTAAGTTCTGCTTAGTTCCCACTTCTGTGTTCGTAATGCATTTGAGTATACTTAGCCAAGGACAGCATTTTCCAGTAGGAATTGTATTACCCTATCATCCATATTAAGATGCCTCCCTGGTGTATTTGTTTTTGTTTTCTGTTTCTACTATTTTCTACATCTATGCTTTTACTTGAATGAATCCACCATAGCAATAAAATTTAGTCAACATTTGCCAAAAGAGAGCCTACATAAATCTTGCTCTAGGAAGCCCCTGCATTTGGTCAAATTCAGAAACTCATCCATTAAATGGAACCTACACCCACTGGTCCCAATATCCCACACAAAGTATAGTCTTGTTTATTCCTGTTGAATCCATTCAGAGAAGTTGTTGACATCCCTTGCTCTAATATGAGTGGCTTCACTATCTAACCTTCTCACGAGACACAGAGCTCCCATCATTGATACTTCGATCTAAAAGTTATGTTTGTTGCTTTCCATCCACAACCAAAGTAGTTAGCAAGAGGGCAACATCTCTATGGGAAGCTACCTCACTTCTATAGAGAGCCAAACAACCAAGCTGAGATGGTAATATTTTGTTACTTTGGAAGCCCCTATTGGATGCCTAATAGTTAAGGAAATTGTACTTAGATACCCATGGATAACTCGCCCTGGACAAGTAAACACACACAACCCAAACAACAATCTAGAATAACTCCCAGCCTTCCACTTAGTTCTAACTAGAGGTGTCATGTGTATAAGAATGTGATGGTAAGTAACCAAATATGGGTGCTTATGTTGATGCTTTCTTATGAGAAAGACTTGAAGGAGATGACACCATTCTTTAATGTTGTTGTTGATGCTACTGTATTAGCAGCATTGCATCCATGATTTAATATTGTTGTTGATGCTACTGTATAACAGCATTGCATTCCTGATCTCTCTCTCTCTCT